CACGTGAATTAGAGACAATATTTAACTTTTTTTCTTATTTGTAAATGTAAATATTGAACTAGAAAATATGTAAAAAATTTAGATACTTATGAGCATTTAATAATATCATTTTTTGTTAATGATTAGCAGGGTCACGTTAATTATGCTCGTTTGCGTTGAATTTGATAATTAGTGTGACATTTTAATGAACATGCAAGATAGGGAACGTGGCATATGCATTAAGCATGGTAGTTAGTGCATTGAATTTAAATTAAAACATCACGGCTTTGAAACGAGGCGTGACTTCGCGATTATATGAAGATATAACACAGTAGTGGCCACTAAATATATAAGCACTAAGCACAAAAATAAGCATGTTTTCCATAATTAAAAAATACTTTAAATGGTTTTAAACGAGAAATATATAAGTATTTTATTTTTAACTCAAACCGGACGTTTCGAATGCAGCAGCATGGTCAAGAGAAAAGCGTCCGGTCAAAGTTAAGAATAATAATATATTTAGCGTTTTAATCCGTTAAAAAAATATATAGGTTAACGTGCATGACTCAAGTAAACCATAAATATTAACGGGCTATGGGTTAGATCCCCACTGGGTCACATGTAACTAGTTTATAATTTTTCTGAACATTTAAATAAAACACTTTAACGGTTTAAAACGCGATATATTAGTTAAACTTATTTGAAAATGATTTTTAATTTAAATAAAACACTTTAACGGTTTAAAACGCGATATATTAGTTAAACTTATTTGAAAATTATTTTTAACTTCGGCCCGACGTTTCGGATGCTTTGCAGCAGCCGTGGTCACGGGGAGACACGTTTAACGTCGGGCCGAAGTTAAAAATCATTTTCAAATAAGTTTAACTAATATATCGCGTTTTAAACCGTTAAAGTGTTTTATTTAAATGTGTACTACTCGCGTAAACTATAGATAGTATTTTCTGAACATGTTAGTCTTTGTCTGGAAGTCTAGACATCAAATGGATGATAGGAATAACGAAATTTCATCCGGGTCACGAACCACAATCCGCAAATGAAAAATCCATGAAGTTTAATCACCATTCGGTTCCACCAATATAGGTAGACATCGCATCTTGTTTAAATGTTATAACGCTGGCCTATTTCACCTTCTATCAAGTAATTGTCGCAGAATGGGGATGCTTGTCTGTCCGCTTCTAATATAACAAAATGTCTTTAAAAGATTTAATATTGTAGATTTTAAATAAGTGAATTGTATAACAAGATTATTTAATAAATAAAGCCGTGCAGTGTAAATCCGCGTTTCGGTTGTAGTCCGATTTCCGAAGCCAAGATACGAGTAGATTGTCAGCGCATCTTAACACGTTACAGGTCTGTGGTATTTTAGCTTTCAAGTAAGCCATTGTTGTCTGTGCTTCTGTCAATAAATTGTCATCATAAAGCGATTCGGAATATTTTGAATCTTGTATAATCAGCAGTTTGAGAGTTGCTCTATTTGGCGTACTGCCATTTTTAGATTCATTTTCGAACGAATATATCAAAGCTCCGTTCGTGCTCAGTGACACGCTTGTAACGAGATAAAATTGCATAAACAAGTTTGTTTTCTGTGCCCGCGGCTTCGTCCGCATGGAATAGTTATTTTGGACATCATATTATTTGTCTCCCCTACCACGGCTGCTGCAAAGCATCCGAAACGCCAAGTTAAAAATCATTTTCAAATAAGTTTAATAATATATAAAATTTTCAAACCCCCACAACTTATAAATTATAGCTTCGCATCTCTCTGATCTTCTATCTTTATAAATTATATCGTCCGTATCTCGTCGTTCTTGCGTGTTATTTTTAAAAGGTTTACAACAGGTTTACACAGGTTTTTGAAATCAATAAATAAATATTGTCGCGGACATTTTTTTCAGGTCCGTTAAAGAAGAATCATGCTTTCATACATTTTTTTTTTTCTTTTAACAGTTTTTGCAGCGTACATCGGAAACCCACAGAAAAGAAACAATTTCCGCTTTTTCCACATTTTGTGCTGTTCCTTCGTTCCTATTGGTCACAGCGCAATAGCCTTCCGCGCCTTCTGCGATAAATGCTGTAACCAAAACAAAAATATTTTTTCAATTCGAAACAGTAGTTCCTAAATTCCCTTCGGGTAACGAACCACCTCAACAATCAGTCAGTGAGTCAGTTTCAGTCTTTAAATTACCGAATTTCAAAAGTCAATAATAGATCAACAGCGCATCTTGTCATCGTTATAAGCTTTTCAATATATAACCATAAAAAGCTGTCGTGATCTATAAGAAATATAAATGATCTTATTCGATAAAATTTAATACTAAAAAACAACCCGCCCCGATTCTAAATAGTAATGTTTCAAAGCTATTTTGACCCACTTCTTTTCATAATACATTTCACTTTTTGTCGACACATAATTGTGACCTTTCATCTTTTCACAGTTTGCTGTGAATACAGTAAATAACATAGTTCTCCGCTAGATTCATTATTTTCCTTACAATATTACAAAAATACGCCGTTTGATCTTTATCGCGTCATTTCGGTGGATGGTGGCATAACCAAATGTTATCATGATTACGATTTGATTAAAATTAATGCCGCTTGAACGTTTTCACGTAATAATAACTGGTTTATGAAACATGTATGTAAGAAACAATTTTTTTTAAAAAGCCACGCTACATGGTTTGTCGAACTGTTCGACTGTCGTAATTGAGAAATGGTTCTCGACGTTTCGGCGTCACGAGTAGATTACGTCATCCGATTTTGCGCGTTCTTCGACTAAACTGAACTAAGACTGTTTATTGGAAGGAAACATATAAGAAAATAACAATATTTATATGTTAGTGTATATACATTTAAAGTAAACAGTCAAATTTTAAAAGTTCTTCACTTTATCTTCAATGATATCTAACACTGGAAACCATAAGAAATGTAACCTCATTACCTAGTTTTCTTTATATACCTAACTGCTTTTGTGAATTTATCGTTTTTTCATTATTCATAAAATAAATCATTTTTAACCGTTTAAAAGAACGATTTAAATTAGTTGATTAATTATTTTTAACTACGACACAACGCTTCGGATGCTTTATAGCAGTCGTGACTGCGGGGTGACTTTGCCAAAGGGTGGGCGTCCGTGTCAATTCTAACCTGCTACGCTAGCGCCATCTGTTGCGTCGTAATTTGTATTTGTAGAAACTAGTTGGCTATTTAAAGAGCTGACAGCACCTTTTTGCTATTTTTATGTAGCCCCCCCACTTAAAATTTTATATTTTATAACTTAAGTAGTTGATCTGGCAAACGTTCTTTTGCCATATTATAAAAGTATTTCGACAAAATGTGATTTTCATTAAAATGGTTCTTGTGTATGTTGTGAGTTAACTTAAAAGATAGACATACTTAGATAATAATTTAAAGAACGATCCTTTCGTACATATTTTTTACGTATATTGAATCATATTAAAAGGGCACGCTACGATAATCCCTCAAGATTAATTTCCCCCCTCTTTCCCACATTTCCCTTTGTTTTTTTGATCCTATTGACCGTAGGCTATTTTACGTTGTTTAAAGCCTTTCTTGATATATAGTCTAACCAACACAAAAAAAAATGTTATGTTTAAATATTATTATACATTAAAAAAAGTGAAAGTTGAAATAAAAGCGTTTCTTAAAAACAAAATGTTTCTAGTAGTAGTAACCGAATTAGGGAATCAATCATTCTGGGGTGTCCCAAATTACTAAGTAAATCTGGCGAGCAAAATTAATCACATCCTCTCAAAGGGATGACTTGTAAGTCTGTGTATTGTGTAGTCCATTTGCGAAGCATGCTGGAGAGCGTCTCTTTCACTCCTCGGGTAAGTGAAAGAGATAGATGGATCCAGTAAAACAAAGGACAGTAGGGGGTGGTTACAAGGCCTTCACTTAAAGCGAGCGATTGTTGAAAGATGGCCTTGAATTAGGTAGTACATACTACCTATCTTTTGTCTTATATAGTGTACTAGCTGTGGAAGTGAATTCGTCCGCGTAGTATAGTCATTTTGGGCATCAAAATTTGTCTTTGCAAAACTTCTCATCTTTGTAAATTTTTAGCTGTTACCCGCGACGTCGGTTGCGTCCCATCGTTCTTGCTAGCTAATCTTAAAATAGATTAAAGCCTATCTCGATAAATGGTCTAACTAACAGAAAAATATATTTTTATTTACTTTGCCATAGCGAAGAGAGAAACAAACCACGTTCTAAGTAAAACAGCTTGGTGCTCAAATGGACAGAATTGATATATTCGTTTCTATACTGTGAGTTCCAATTCGAGAAATCGGACCGATCCGATAAAATCTTTGGCATGCCTTTGGATGAAGATCAATAATATTAAATGGCTCTATGCCATGCAATGCCAGATATTCACGAGAAACTATCACGGATTCTTTTTATCTTATGGATAAGTTTTATGAACTGTTATCGCATAATTTCATAGTTATTCCTTTACCCAATGCAATTTTAGTTTTTGTGTGATTAAATTACAAGTACCTACATGGCTAATAATAATAATCAACGGGTTTGATTTTTATCAAGTTCCGCTAACATCAATTTGTAACTATTTTGCCACATTTTACACCTCGTCAAAATCGGTGGAAGAGAATATCAAAATTCAGTCCAGTTTACGATCACAAACCACCGTCCACTGATAAAAACCCATATTTGCGTTTGTCTTAGTATCTGGATTTCTGGGTGTCCAATACGAAAAATAGTTTGGCAGATTATCGTATTTTACTTTCCATCAATGATTTCAACATCCACATGCTTACCTGTCATGCTCTGTCATAAAAAAAATATTTAACATAGTTAAAAACTAATTTGATTATTAACATTACTTTTGAACATGCCAATATTATTATATCGCACATTAAACTATTAAGTAATAATATTAAAAAAGCTAATGTATGTCACATAAGTACATACAAGATATCTAAGCTATAGAAAATATAGTAAATCTAATCTAATAAACATTTTTATTGGTTCCCAACATCTGTCCAGCAAAACCTTGCAGGAATTCGACTAGGGTTCTCAGACCTGACATTCAATTGAGATGACGACTGAAATTGACTTGGGAATTCACCACGATCTAGTTTCCTCACGCTATCTTCTATTTCAACTTCCTCGTGCTTGGGACTTAATGTAATAACTTTAACTTTTTTCTTTTTATTAAAATGAATTTGTGCTAGCTCTTCTTCTGAAGTGCTATCTCGTAATATTACATCTTGTTCTAATTCCTCCAATTTCGATATTTTTGGCATACGCACACCATCGTTAAGCAGTTCTAATTTTTTCTCGATATTGTTAATTTTCTCTAAAATGATATCCAATTTGTGTGTGTTATTTTTGACGGTACTTTGTATGTTTTTCAATTCAAAGTTTACTTCGCTCGTGTTTTGTGTTTCTAATATACATTCTCGTATCGCTTTAATCACCGGCGTTCTTATACTCTCACAAAGAAGGCTTTTGTCTTTCCCATTCATAAGATGTATTTTTATCTTTGCATCGCCGGAAGAGTTTAAATTTTCCGCTAAAGCTTCAAATGACTCTGAAGCGATCATGCGAACGTCGTTGTCTTTACACTTCTGTAAGAATTTCTCTCTTTTCAGATTGCGTTTTTCAGAATGCTCTGATAGGGAACACGAAAATGACCTATTTTCTTGTATATCGTCTATAGTGTTGTTATGGGAGGAACGACTAAGCGATTCCCTTCCACTAAAAGTTTGATTCGTTTTATTTACTTCATCGGTAAAGTTATGCGATCTTTCTTTTTCACACGCCGCATTATTTTTTTGATGTAATTTACTATCGGTTTTTTTTCTTTTCTGACATTTATTACTTTTTATAAAATAAATAGGTTCGGTCGACGCATCAGTGGAAGGCGGTATAGTTATAGGAATAATTTCTTTAGCGAATTTAATAGTTTGCTCTACTACTGGATCGTTGTTGTGGTTTATAATCTTAGTTTTGTATTTAGGCTGGAATTTTTCATGATCGAACTGAATACCTTTATCTACTTTTTTACAGTCTTGTATTTTTATCTCGTTTTTTGCATATGGCAACAGCTTTTTGTGTATGTACAATATAGGGTTATATGAGCGTGGGTCTCGAACGTATTTTGAGAGATCAATTCCTGGGATGTCTAATTCTGAATCATTACCTGAAAATAAAACCTTAACCTTAATTCCAAAATCAATAACATCTGTGTACATTACAATGCTCTCCGGTGAAAGAAAACAGCATCAAAAAACCAGCATATCCATATCACAAGAACCAAGAATTTGACGGCTCGTGTTATTGAACCTGCCACATAGGTAAAGACCGTTATATGGTATGCAAAATACGACTATAATTATGAACTATTCTTTAAAATCTATGAAGCATCTTACTATTATAGCTAAAAATAAAAATACCTAAACCCATTGAGCCCGTTCATAAATTCCGGTTAAAGTTGTAAGTAACTTAGAACAACAAAAACAGGTAATCGATATTAACTATACAAAGCTATCGGAAAATTCTTCAATTCGTTGCAATATTTTTATCTACATAAATAATTGTAAACTTCGTCGATAAAGGCTCTTAAAGGATTTGACAATATTGTGTCATTTATATTTTAAAAAGTAGGTGGAACCTAGTACGGAGGATCCTACGTTTAACAATTATCTGTTATCTGTAGAAAGGTAAATTTTAAAAGTACTGTTTATAGTAACGATAGTACTAATTATTTTGGAGAAAAAATTGTAACAATTATGCGATATGTAAAAGCTTGATCTTCGGGTTAAATAAGTTATGATTAAAATACGGTTTTTATGCGATGTTGCCTGTTTTACTTTATACGTTCAGACATCACAGATTAAACCAATACGCGATGAGACTTATGATTTTTTATGCTGTGTAGATGAGGTTCGTATCTTGAGAATGGAGCCCAGCGACCCGTTGATTTTTTCCAGACTTTGCTATTATTGGATGAACGAGCCCGTCAATTGGTATAGCATTTTATGTTAAGTGAAATAATAATTGACTTCGTTTTCTAAGACGAAGAAATAACATTAACATACGATTTTCTTTCGCTTTTTTTAAGCACAATAGCGAGGCCGCCCTTCATCCAATGCCGATGTAAAGTCTTTGCTGCTAAAATTTGCAACCTAATGCCTAATTTTAAAGCTTAAATTAGCTTGTATATGAGACAGCGTTTTTCTTTGTGACAAACGACAGGAAATCTTGGCTCGGCTCAAACCCCTTTGCGCTTTAGTAGAGAAATTTTGTAAATACGTTTTTTCCATGTTTTTGGGTCAATGAAATGTGATGCTCAATTTTGCCTCTCGGTTTAGCTAAGTGCTGCAATGCTGTATAACTTTATGGCATTGATTTTGGCTGTTTTACAAAAACACTTATATAGGCATATAAATTATAGTTTGTTAATCGTACACAAAAACAATAAAACATTAATAAAAATTCAAATAAAGGAAACACTGTCTGTAGTTTACGCGAATAGTACACATTTAAATAAAACAATTTAACGGCGACCACAGCTGCTGCATAGTATTCGAAACCTCGCATAGATACAATAATTTCCAAATAAGTTTAACTAATATAAATTGCGTTTTCAACCGTTAAAGTGTTTTATTTGAGTCAAATAAAGAAGCAATAAATACAGGCATAAAATATAGTTTATAAATATATGAACGTTAAATAAATAAAAAATAGTAGGTACGAGGAAATCTTATTCTTTAAAACACTACATCATTATCTATGAAAATAAAACATCGTTTCAACAAAGCGAGTACGTGCAAATTGCAAACAATACATCTGAACACATGAATAAAGCGGTAATTAATCAAAACATACGTTCCTCTTGAGCACGTGGAACGGGGCATCCATCACACTTTCAACTCTGAAGATAATATTTCAAACAGAGCAGCGTTTAAGAGGAATACACAAATAACATTTATGTCGTCTTTAGTTGTGGCTTAGTCTGTGGGTAGTGTGGTCTTCGTGCTTTATTAAATTCGCCAAAATAAACGGGTTAATTGGGAACTTTTGGAATTTGGGTAGCTATAAATGCCAACGTTTTTTCATAAATCAGTTTTTCTAAGGTATGTTAGACTTCGTCTGAAAAGTGTTGATATTAAATCGATGGTACACATAGAAATTCCGTCTGGATTTCGAATTACCATCCATAAATTGAACGATCGTGATGTATCTATACTAATATATAAAGCTGAAGAGTTTGTTTGTTTGTATGATCGCGCTAATCATAGGAACTAATAGTTCGATTTGAAAAATTATTTTGTGTTAGAACATTTATCGAGGCAGGCTTTTATGAAGGGATTATCGATAAGTTATAAAACATTATACTATCACAATTATATAAAAAAAAATCTTCTCTGTGGACTTCCGATGCACACGCAGCGAAAACGGTTCAAGATTCACAAAAAATATGTACGAAACTCTTTGAACGATCTAAAATAATGTCCGCGACACTATATGTCTATCTTTGAAGATTAACTTGCCAGAACGACGGGACCCGAACGGCCGACGTTGATGTCGGATAGCAATTTTTTATAAAGATAAAAAAGGAGGTTTGCGAAAACAAATTTGGATGCCCATAATAACTGTTCTACGTGGACGAAGTCGCTGGCACAGCTAGTATAATATATCTACGTTTCAGTGTGTATATTTTTAAATATCCAAATCCAAAAACGGTCGACAGCACATTTTGTTTCGATGTTATATGGCCGGAGTATTTCACATTCTATGAAGTGAAATCCCTGCTTTTCTATCTTCTCTCTGTCATAAAAAGATTCTGTATTTAAATATTGATAACTAGCTTTTTCGGCAAGTGTTTTGTTTCCAAGATTATTATTATAAGAAATAATTTGTATGGCATTAGTTTCGACGAAATTTTGCTAACCATAAAAACGGTATAATTTAAAAATCGAAAATAAATTGAAAAAATGTTCGACTCGGGCAGAACTTGAACCGGCATCGTCAGCTTTCCGTGCTGTTGCTCTACCAATTGAGCTACCGAGTCCTACACCTCATCGTCGAATTTATTTTCGATTTTTAAATTATATAGTGCCTTCATGTGCACAATGTGATAACAAACATGTGAAAAATACATGTGACAACAAACATGTGAAAAATATTAATGTTTTCAAACATAAAAACGGTTTTGTGTAAATGGTAAAATATAAACATATACTCGCGGACAGTATTTTAAACCATCAATGAGGAATAGTTCATTCATACATATTTTTTGGTTTGTCTAACCGTTTTCGTAGTTCACGCTACGGAAGAACTCAAAGATAAACAGTATTCCATATTCAATTCGAACCAGTAGTTACATTAGCGTGTTTAAACGAACAACAAAAATGTTCTTAGACTAGAATAAAGTTTTTCCCACCAGCAATAATAACTAAAGAAGCCCCATTTACTAATAACGAGGTTTTAACGGATGTGTCTTACGAATCTAAAATTGTGTTCGGCATATTAGGTGTTCACGATCCAAGCGAAATTAAAAATGTACGAATTCACGCCTTAGCCGCGCTCCACAGAATTATGTACACGTCGACAGGTCTGTGTAAACAGTGGCACCGACTTTACACAGCGTACCTGTTTTGTTTTCCTTGGTCGTGGTTGGTATTTCCGAGACCGATTCACGTAATCGTGTGATTTAAAAGCTCGGCTCTAACGTACCACAAAACGGCGTATGCCATAATATTTCATAGCTTATCTCTATGTAAATTCGCGTTTATACATTACTCATTTGTAACGTGGAAACACATTTTTTATGGGTTATCAATCAGCGTACCTAACTGTCAATGAAATTTACTATTAGTTTCGTTTATAGGGTTCCGTATGCAAAGGATAAAAGTTAAAGCTAAGGTGTTGTCCGTCGTTCAACTGGTTGTCCGTCTGAAAACATTAATATTTTTCACATGTTATTGCACATGAAGGCACTATATAATTTAAAAATCGAAAATAAATTGAAAAAGTTTAGTCCTGCCCGAGTCGAAAATTTTTTCAATTTATTTTCGATTTTTAAATATATAGTTGTCCGTCGTTCAACTGGTTGTCCGTTGTTCAACTGGTTGTTCGTCGATCAACTTCTTGTCCCTCGATCACCTGGTCGGTTGTCGTATAACAATTTCAAAACGGAATTTATACAGAATTTATATTATAGAGTCTAAATACCATCGCTGACTTGGCCCGTTTATTTATAAATAACGAATAAGCTTACGAATCTCTTTAGTGTCTAAAACTTTGACAAAAAAATAAAACTTGGCAGAATCATTATATTGTCTATAGCTTACGTGAGTTTAAAAAAAAGGTTAAAAACTGTTAAAGATTTAAAACGCGAAATATGCTCGTTTTGGCTGTTGCAAGGTAGACCTTAAAAGTATTTCATGCTAATATTATAATTAAATGAAACAGTTTTAACCGTTTAAAACGATGTATTTTAAGTAGTGCCCGACGTTACAAACGTAAGCTTAACTAATACATTTCGCGTTTCAAACCGTTAAATGTTTCATTAAAATTTGTACTACTCGCGTAAACTATAGACGGTACTCAATATTATATACTGATGTTTTATGACAACTCTTTTTTAATTCAATATAGGCTTTATAAAAAGTAGCAGATGACAGCATTGTCAGGGGAGAAATTGAATTAGAAATGTCGTGAGGGTTAGCAATACACAGAAAACATCTACAAACCGAGTCCTCAAGCGTACTTGGATATCGAAGTTGTACCGTGCCCTACGAATTTGTATCGTAACCCGTAACATTAAGGTCACATTCGCCTTGTCGCGATGCGCCACAATTGAAATGAGATGCTTCGAGCCAAAAGTTCGCGAAATAGGTCACTGTGATATCTCTTGTTCTATATATTTTTAGGAACTAGTTGAGGTGAAATTTAAATGGCTGCGAATCTCGGCTAATGCCTTTGTAGTTCCACTACTCTCTGTTTTATGTGACCTTGTATTTTTTCTTGCGAAAAAAATGTTGTATTTCCGTGCAAAAGAATTTTTATGCGGCCTTTTTAATTCTATCCACATTAGGGTTGCGACTGTTTTACTATCGGCCCTTAAACAGTTCCCACTTTTGGGACACCTCCGCCACTCTATGTCTGCAAAGGTAAAAAAATAGATGCTCAGTCGAGAATCGAATTACGACCTTTATGAATTCCAGTCGTTAAATTATACTGCTAG